ATATTCGAAATTGCATGAAAATTGGAAAACAGGAATCTATAAGCTTATCCAGGCAAAAAGCTACCTACGTACCGAATTTTAAGCAAATCGGACCATAAATACGATTTCTTCGAACAGATCGGTCCCTGGTCCACTTCTCGGACAAAATGGATCATATATGCTAATATATGCTAAAAAGCTACCTACGTACCAAATTTTAAGCAAATCGGACTATAATAAGATTTTTTGGAATAGACCGGTCCCTGGTCCACCTACCCGAAAAATTTTTTGTATGCAAAATTTCATGAAAATCGGACCAGCCGTTCGCGAGATTACCTGTTACAAAAAAAGGGACTTCTCTTTATATAATTAGTATAGATGTATGTATGTATTTATGTATGTGTTTACATATGCATGTATTTTGTCTTTACAGAGGTAAGAAGGTAACGAAGATATTATAATCGTTTGTGCCGCATAAACAAAAAACCAGTAAGCACTTGTTAACACCCCAAAATAGTTTGCTTCTTGTAGCAGTTATGCTGTATACCTACGGTGACCATAAATATGAATTGGAAATGCAGGACAACTTTTCAAAAAATATACCTACATATCGTCACCTGAAATGCAACAAAACGTAACAACATCGTAAATAAAATGGAAAAAGTCGTGACTAATATTTTAATTTTTTTTTTCATAAAATGGTGTAATTCGATGAAATCCATCATATAAATCAAAGAGTGAGTTTTGAATTTTTTATTAGTTATGACTTTTAGCATTTCAACGATGATGTTTATGCTTTTGCATTTCAGTTGACGTTACAAGTATAGAAATTGGATTAATAATTAAAAAAAATATATATTTTTTCTTTGTTATTTTTATACTACGTACATATGTATGTNCTTTGTTATTTTTATACTACGTATGTAAATACATATGTATGTATGTAAACTTTGAATATAAATCACATTTTCTTCATTGGTATTAATCTTTTTTTAATGAATATTTGTAAAATTATAATACAACTTATTATAATTACACTAGTTTACACGAGGAATGAACCTCTGTAAAATGGTATTTTCTAGGCAAACTTTGGGTCGTTGAACACGAAAACAGTGTAATGGGTATTGTGTTCAAAGAAGCGTTTTAGAGATATTCAGAAAAAACGTTATTCGTCAATATCTCTTTAATCGACTTAAACGACCTACAGATCGAAAAGTATTGATGTTCCCTTTACAAAAATACATATATAATTTGTGCAGAATGTGCCATAACGTCTACATTTCTCATCCGATTTTCATTATCTTAGGCTCAAAATTTACTGTAATGATTTCAATTTTATATCGAATTTTAAAAATTATGTAAAATAGAATCAACTAAAAGTGTGAAATTTTCACAAGTTATCGAAAATTTCACTTTTTTCGACTTTGGTCAATTGTAACACTTTTCATTGAAATCGGCACAGGCCAAATGCTTTTCTAGGAGGCACATCGATACCTTTCGAACTGTTGGGCCATTAAGTTGATTAATATTGACGAATAGCTCCGAAAAATACAAAAACACCTCGTTTTGCGAAAAAATCTCGAAAACGCTTCTTTGAAAAGATAATTGTGTATTGTTGACGTGTTAAACGAACCAAAATTAGTTTGGAAAACGTTTCTTTCTTAAGCTGGGATCCCACGATTGCCGCAATACACCAATTATTGCCTCATTTTATGCCCCAATCGTGTGATTTCACAATACAATTAGGGTACTAATTTTGCCACCTGGTAACTTTAAAACATTTTACCATGTGGTAACTTTGTTTGTTGTTGGTTCCCATACTAATTAGAGATAACACTTTTGGGCAAAATTACTAGACTTTGTCTCATGTTTATGTTCTGTGTTAAACTGGCATCTATCGCTGCTTGTACATACATACATGAATTTCGCTTTGGGCGCAGCGCTGCTTGTACATAAGTTTCTCTTTGCGCCTGCCTGGAGCTGGCAAAGGTTATTTTTTTATTTATTTTTGCGCTGTGCTAGCTGAGTATAAAAAAGAGAAGAGAGAATAGAGAGAAATATGTATGTGGTTTGTTGATGCTCTCTAAACACAAACGCGTGAAAGGCAAACGGTCTAGCAATGCGTGGTATTGTTGATCAACTTAATACTTTATTTAAACATAAGGGTTGCTCACAGTTCGAGTGTGTTATCTTGTTAAAGTTGCCACCTTTTAACTTTAGAAGTAAACTGTGAGTACCCTAATTGACTCATGCGGCAATAGAGGCCGCTATTGTGCTTACTGTGCCCAATCAAATACGGCACGTGTGCGGCAATCGTGTGATAGCTCGATTGGCAATCATGGGGCAATGAAAATTTCAAAATTGCGGCAATATTTATTGTATTCTTCTGCGTCAATTGAAGTGAACAATACACATCAATATTTAGGCTGTTTATTAATAATTTACTTTTTTGCTTCCTTATGTGTCCAAAAATCACTGAAATTAATATCCTTGTTTTCGGAAGCAACATAACTTTTAATTTAATTTGTAGTGAAATTATAATTTTTCTTGAAGTCCGATAACGGAATCTTTGCCGCGATATATACCACCACAAGCAAAACTCATACGAGAAGAATACGAAAGCTATTTTATGTCACCAAATGTCGGACTGCCATCTATATATCTTATAACTCCAGAACGCACGAACCGATTCCCACGGTTTTGCGTTCGTTGGAAAGGGCTCGGGCTCCGTGAGGTTTGTAGCAAAGAAGAATGCTTTAAGATTGAGCACTTTTCATATAGCTGGGTGACTAGGGTCTTGAGATATAGACCAAAACGTGGACCTGGGTAACCTTGGGTGTATTTGTTCAATATGGGTATCAAATGAAAGCTGTTCATGAATGCTTTAAGATTGAGCACTTTTCATATAGCTGGGTGAC